AAGTTGGTGGTAGTTATCTCCACATGGACTCACATGGTATTCTCTTTAAATACAAAACAAACATTGCAGTCTCTTTAAATACAAAACAAAGAGGAAAAGCTCTTCACAAATATTGTCATCCAAATCGATTAAATTGCCATGTTTTTGTGTTTTTATATTGTCAACCGCCCTGTGATCCTTGGATGAAGGGCGGTATGGAAATTAAGCAAACAAATTAATGCATGAATTCATTCAATAAAACTTTCCCAGATTTCAATAAATTCATTCCAGTTCTGTCTTCTTTCCTTTGGTCTGGTGTAATATGTAATTTTGCCTAAGAACACAGTCCCATAGTTGAGCAGTTTTGCTCTTCAAAATTTTGTTGTGTTTGGCCATTATTCCATTTCTAGGGTGAAACCTTATGAAACAGGCTAAACAGAAAGGAAATAGATCACAACAAAGCAATAGAAATAATCCAGAGAGGAAGGACAACACTGGGCATCCCTTCCCTCCATAGTAAATGGAGATAGCACAATCACTAATGTGTTCTCCTACGAAGGAACTGTAAATATTAAAAGTAGAGAGTAAATCCACCTCCCCCCTACACACAGAGACACAGTCAGGAAGCCTTGTTGTACATCATGAATAAGCTAATGAGGAAATATGCACCAAGTACGGTACTTTAGGGAACCAAGGAACTCTCAAATGCAGATAAGGTCCCAGTTTATTCCTGAAAATAAATTTGTGGCATGGGCAGTCATGCAGGTAAGGGACACATGAAAATCCACTAGTTAACAGCAGTTCATTTACAAATCCACTATACATGGAGCATGTAAGAGCATACACACACACACACACACACACACACAAAATCAAGGAAAAGGAAAAGGATCTTCTTCGATTTGGAGAACCTTAGCAGGACTATCATGGAATGATTCCCAAGCTTGAATGTTATCTAAAGACACAGAGGCTATTTATTGGAGTTGTGACAGAAGATACTTTTTTATATACCACATAGGCAGAATTTCACAGAGAAGAAAGCTGGTTGTTCAATGCAGAACATCATGATCCTTGGAAGAAGGCTATGCCCGTGGCTGACATGGTCCAAAAGCTTACGTGGGTGACTTTGCATGCCTACTCACATGCAGAACTGCTCTGAGAGTGAATATATGCAAGGCTATCGGTGTACTAAAAACAGAACAGCATGCCAAATTCTGCCCATTCCCACCCCTATTGAATTCTGTGGTCTCCACAGATCATGCAAGTTGAGAACATTTGCCTAATTTGTGTGTTCTCTCTCTCTCTCTCTCTCTCTCTCTCTCTCTCTGCTTTCTTTCTACAGCGACATTACTCTGTGAAATCTGCTGACTTGGGATAAGTTCGCTGCTTCATCTGCAGTTATTGTGTTTGGAAGGGTGGCCATCAAAGAACTTCATTATATCAAATCATTCATCGAAAGATAAGCTTCTTTACTGTCCTGATGCCCAGTCTGTCCAAGTGATTTGCTGAAGCATGCCAACAAAGGTCCGTATAGTTAAAGCCATGGTTTTCCCAATAGTGATGTATAGAAGTGAGAGCTGGACCATAAAGAAGGCTGATCGCCGAAGAATGGATGCTTTTGAATTATGGTGCTGGAGGAGACTCTTGAGAGTCCCATGGACTGCAAGAAGATCAAACCTATCCATTCTTAAGGAAATCAGCTCTGAGTGCTCACTGGAAGGACAGATCCTGAAGCTGAGGCTCCAATACTTTGGCCACCTCATGAGAAGAGAAGACTCCCTGGAGAAGACCCTGATGTTGGGAAAGATGGAGGGCACAAGGAGAAGGGAACAGCAGAGGGCGAGATGGTTGGATAGTGTTTTCGAGGTTACCAGCATGAGTTTGACCAAACTGCAGGAGGTAGTGGAGGACAGAGGTGCCTGGCGTGCTCTGGTCCATGGGGTCACGAAGAGTCGGACATGACTAAATGACTAAACAACAACAAGAAGTGTGAATGCTGCCATACCATGGCTCTGACACAATGGGCCCCTCTGTCTATTTGTACCTCTCTCTAGGCCTTCTTACCTACCTACCTTACCTTTATCCCTCCTTCTTTCTGCCAACCATGTGCAACCCTTGCTGTTATCCTCATAATTAAGAGGGCCTATCAACTGATAGCACCCACCGTTCTACCCACAGTAATGGAGTATGCTCAGACACGTGTTCTTTCAAAGAATCATAGAATTGCAGAGTTGGAACAGGCCTTGAGGATCATCTTGTCCAACCCACTGCTATGCAGAAATATGAAGCTGTTCCGTATAGGGATCAAACCTGCAACCTTGGCGTTATCAGCATCACACGCTAAGCGAGACATCTGTTACTCCACCAACCTTTGCCTCTGGCCATACCAGGCACTAACACGCAGCCTCACCCTTGGCTCACGAGACAATGAGACATTCAAGCAAAGAAGACTGCCCACCTCTGACAAAAAGGTTGCCACGCCACGTAGTCTGAGCTGATGCTGAGGCTCTTGTACCTGTGAGTTCTGCCTGAACACATCTATTGCGCTGTGTGTACTTGGAGAACTTGAATAAAATTGGGAAGGGGGGCAGGTAAGCCTCACTCTGCATAACCACAAGACGGCACATGCACACCATTTGAATGGCAATTCCCATTGACTTTAGGGGTGCCCTGTCCCCTCAGATATTTTATTGGGAGTGTCGAAGGGACCCCAACCCCATATGCTTTGACATGTCCAGAATGCCTAGTCTGTGCACATCAGGGAGCACAAAATACTTTCAAAGTACTTTACGCATGGTGCCTAAAATAGATAAAGATAAAGCTACTGGAAAGGCCCTTTTCTTATGTTTCCACTCTCTGTATCACCCATGGAGGGTGCACTCAGAAAAACATCAATGATTTGTTTATCTATTCATTTAAAGCATTTAAATACTCTTGGATGCAGTTCATCTGGCCCAAGTCTCCAGGGCCAGATGAACTGCATCCAAGAGTATTAAAAGAACTGGCAGAGGTGATCTCAGAACCACTGGCAGTCATCTTTCAGAATTCCTGGAGAACAGGCGAAGTCCCGGCAGACTGGAGGAGGGCAAATGTTGTCCCTATTTTCAAAAAGGGGAAAAGAGAGGACCCAAATAATTATCGCACAGTCAGTCTGACATCAATACCAGGGAAGATTCTGGAGCAGATCATTAAGCAAACAGTCTGTGAGCACCTAGAAAGGAATGCTGTGATCACCAATAGTCAGCATGGATTTCTGAAAAATAAGTCATGTCAGACTAACCTGATCTCATTTTTTGACAGAATTACAAGCCTGGTAGATGAAGGGAACGCAGTGGATGTAGCCTACCTTGATTTCAGCAAGGCATTCGGCAAGGTGCCCCATGATATTCTTGTAAAGAAGCTGGTAAAATGCGGTCTTGACTATGCTACCACTCAGTGGATTTGTAACTGGCTGACTGACCAAACCCAAAGGGTGCTCATCAATGGTTCCTCTTCATCCTGGAGAAGAGTGACTAGTGGGGTGCCACAGGGTTCTGTCTTAGGCCCGGTCTTATTCAACATCTTTATCAACGACTTGGATGATGGACTCAAGGGCATCCTGATCAAATTTGCAGATGACACCAAACTTGGGGGGGGGGTGGCTAACACCCCAGAGGACAGGATCACACTTCAAAACGACCTTGACAGATTAGAGAACTGGGCCAAAACAAACAAGATGAACTTTAACAGGGAGAAATGTAAAGTATTGCACTTGGGCAAAAAAAAATGAGAGGCACAAATACAAGATGGGGGACACCTGGCTTGAGAGCAGTACATGTGAAAAGGATTTAGGAGTCTTGGTTGACCAAGTTGGTGACGCGGCAGCTAAAAAAGCCAATGCAATTCTGGGCTGCATCAATAGGAGTATAGCATCTAGATCAAGGGAAATAATAGTGCCACTGTATTCTGCTCTGGTCAGACCTCACCTGGAGTACTGTGTCCAGTTCTGGGCAACACAGCTCAAGAAGGACACTGACAAACTGGAACGTGTCCAGAGGAGGGCAACCAAAATGGTCAAAGGCCTGGAAACGATGCCTTATGAGGAACGGCTAAGGGAGCTGGGCATGTTTAGCCTGGAGAAGAGGAGGTTAAGGGGTGATATGATAGCCATGTCCAAATATATAAAAGGATGTCATATAGAGAAGGGAGAAAAGTTGCTTTCTGCTGCTCCAGAGAAGCGGACACGGAGCAATGGATCCAAACTACAAGAAAGAAGATTCCACCTAAACATTAGGAAGAACTTCCTGACAGTAAGAGCTGTTCGACAGTGGAATTTGCTGCCAAGGAGTGTGGTGGAGTCTCCTTCTTTGGAGGTCTTTAAGCAGAGGCTTGACAACCATATGTCAGGAGTGCTCTGATGGTGTTTCCTGCTTGGCAGGGGGTTGGACTCGATGGCCCTTGTGGTCTATTCCAATCCCAACTCTATGATTCTATGAAATGCTTTAGTGCTGCCCTACATGGAGTTAAGTACTGATAGAACAAGAGGGAAAAGAATTGTGATACAACCGTACCTATAATAAATTTCATTTCATTTCTTTCTGCTGCCTCTGATCAAAGGATACAGTGCAGTGCAATGAAGCCAATCCACCACTCTTCCCACTGCACAACTGCACAACACCTGGTGCCTCCCTCCTCCCTCCGCACATTTGGCAAGTGCCAGTGAGACTCTGTTTTGAAGTTGAGAGAAGAGTGGTGATCCACCACTGCTGTGCCACTGACTGCTACTGCCTTGCAAGATGCAGCTACAGTGGTACCTCAGGTTACATATGCTTCAGGGTACATACGCTTCAGGTTACAGATTCCGCTAACCCAGAAATAGTGCTTCAGGTTAAGAACTTTGCTTCAGGATAAGAACAGAAATCGTGCTCCGGCAGCGCGGCGGCAGCAGGAGGCCCCATTAGCTAAAGTGGTCTTCAGGTTAAGAACAGTTTCAGGTTAAGAAAGGACCTCCAGAATGAATTAAGTACTTAACCCGAGGTACCACTGTACTGTATCTCCTCCTCCTCCTCCAAAACATGTTTATTATTTTACATTCTCTTACATTAAGATCACATAACATACAATTTACATCAGAATCTATTTATTTATCTTGGCGACTTCCCTTCCTTACATCGGTGATGGTCTAATTCTCCCTCCCCCCTGCTGCCTGCCCAACCTTATCCATTGACGTAAACCCTTTCTTACAATCTTTTACAAGGTGTGACTGTCTTCATGGCATGCACCAAGTCTTGGGTTGGCAAAAGAGTACGGGTTGGGGCACCATCTGCCTGTCTCAGAAACCTGGAGGATTATTCCAAAGAACAGAGACTCTTGCAAAAGCCAACAGACGACACATTTACAAATTATTCTTTGGGTTGTTTTTCTTGGTATATCGTGGAGCCTCCATCATGTTGACCTGCTGTTATACAAGCAGCACCGCAAAATGGGCCAAATGCATTCTCCGATATGGTTTGCAAAGGGCCAGGGGCAAGTTATTGGAAAGCAACTTCCACTGGAGCTGTGACAATCCGTTTTCTTCAAAATGCCTCTACTAAATCCTGTAAGGAGGAGGGGGATAGATTGGGGAAGAAGGGAAAGTACCAAGCAAAAATTCAGATATGTTGGCTTCAGTCCTACAAAATAAAGGAGAGTCTTTATGGGCTTCATCAAAAGTTGATTTAGTCAGTATCCCGTGTCTGGCAATGGCTACCGTCTTAGAAACTCAAAACACAGCAAGAAGTCAGCACCACCATTATTGGCCCCCAGAAGTGCTATTTAGAGATGTAATCTTCCTGAACATGTCACCAACTGATGTCACATGGCCATACCAGGAAATGATGCCAGGCTTTTAAAAACTGTCTCAAAGAATGAATCACCACTGTGAGTGCAAGCGGCATTTTAAAAATCAGTTTTTAGTGCAAAAAAATTAAAATGCACATAAAAGACTGCCCTGCCAGATGGGTGGGGTTTAAATAATAAAATTTTTATTATTATAAGTATTGATTCCTCCAACCCTTCCTTTTTACTTACAGCTGCAAGACAGAGGAGGGTGAATTAGCTGTCTCTGCTGGCCATTGGCTACAGAAGGGCTGCCTGCCTCCTGCCCTATAGGTGCAGTGGGCACCAGCCACCACTAAACTTAGCTCCACTCCCCTTGTCATCTATCCCTTTATAATAAAATGCGTCATTGTCAAGTAGGGGGGACAACACCTGAGAGGGCATTAAAATGAGCCATTTGCCATTGAAAAATGTTTTCCCAATGCACTCTGATAGGAAAACATCTCCTGAGTCTTCACAGGAAAAGGTAGGATGCATAGAAAGTCTTTGGGAGAATTTAGGATGGCCTACGTAATCCTCAATATTTCCACATCAGTTCGCATTGAAATTATATAAATTCACCAGAATTGTTTTTCCAATTTCTGTGCAATTTGCCCTAATATACATGACTTTGCAAAGCACTTCCCCCTAATATAATGAATTTTGTATGTTATTTTCACTGGTATATACATTTATATGTGCACTTTAGTAAATGTATTTTTGTACACAGTACTTGGCTGGAAAACTACATTGCAACATTCGGAGAAAGCAAATACAAATTTCAATGGATGACTGTACTTTGCTTCTCATATGAATTCAGAAGGTGTGAATTTGGCAAGTTCACCTTTACATGCAAACTGAATCAAATTCTACTGCATCGCTAAACCTGAATTAACCCCAGCTCAGCTTGGTTTGAAGGAATAGAGTCCTAACTGCTTCACAGCAAATCAAGCTCATTGATCAACTCATATTCCCAAAGCCACTTTTAAGTTTATTTTCATAACCCTGCACATATCAGTGAACATTTATACACATCTTACCTGGATCAACAAGCAGCAGCACCGAGAAGACGAGAACTGAGAAATGGTGGAGGCTCTTCATGGTTGGAAATTGGGCTGAAAGCTCTGTGTTGACTAAAAATATGGAGTTGACTTAACTCCTGCCCCAATGGAAGTCTTAATTGCACTCCATTTATGCTAGTTGAACAAAACTGCTCGACTCTGGCTACATGGTGTCCTAAGTCTCATTAGTTTTAATTGAATTTAAGCATTCAGCTGCATGTCTATACCATAAGGATATCCATGGAAAATAAAACCTATCTCTGAATTTTGTACTAAATCCAACAGCTGTGGTTTTTTGAGTAGAACAGCATAAAGAGAAGTATATCCTTGTATGCAATAATGAAGTAGCTAAAAAAGATTCTGGAGATCATACTGAGCTTCATCTGTATGAAGGATGTGGCTCAATATAAGGCAGCTTTTAAAAACACAGGAAATTCACTTACCAGTCAGACCACTAGTCCATTTAGTTCAGCATTGCCGACAGTTTTTGCAATGAATCTCTGGGATGTCAGACAGTGGATAGCTCCAAGGGCACCCACAACCCTCTGCATACAAATCAGATGCTCTTGTCACTGAACTATGAGCCTTCCTGTGTTAAATATCATTTTACAAAATTCAGTGCCATCACGTCTCTTGGCCTATTCCAGTAATTAGCAGCATATGTGTGCATGGAAGCTGTTTTCTGAATCCCTGTCAGTCATTATAGACAATACTCAGGTTGATGGACCGGTGATCTAATTCTGGATTGGCTACACCTATACATGTTCCTTTGATCAAGAATTTAGCTGCAAAAATCCTCTGTTCTCTCTGCCCAGGGTAGCTGCTTCATGAACATAGGGCTGAAGGATGGCCTTGCTAAACAACTTAAACATGACAACATGACAGCTTCCTTTACTAGAAACCTTGAAACAATGCAGATGTGTAGAGCACAAATTTAACTCTATTCCACCCCTTCCCTGAAACTTCTTTTTTGCTCTACGATGTATCAATAGGCAATAATTCAATGGAAGGAAATATGCTGTCTCAATCCTAATGCAAACATATTTCAGATGATTGTAATGAAATAGTTGCCTGCAGCTACTTACCAAAGAGATAGGAAGCCTCTGTTGCTTTCTGATTTCGTTTCTTATGCTCTTCTTTAACTACGCTATTAATAGATGTGCCTCTTTGCCTGAACGATTTATGATTATCTGCTGGATCTTCCACCTCGGCAGCGTCCTCAAGATTTCTTAAACCGTCATTATGCATTTGTGTTAGCAGATCAGAGCTAAATTTACCAAGAACGGAGTGTACCCGCTAAGTACCATATGTCCTGCACCTGGTAGGAAGGTGAACAAGATCTGGACATTTAACCCCAGTCTCTCAACTTGCCCTGATAGTTCTTCTTTCTGTGAAAGGGCAAAATTCTGTTTCTAATAAATACATCCAGTTATTTCATTCAACTGCCATCACCACCACCATCTGAAATACAGTGTACATGTGACATTGGATCTGCACAACAACACTGTGAGATATCACACAGCGTTGTTGTGCAGATCCAATGTCACATGTACACTAAGGCGGCTGAGTGGCAATGACAGGCCCTGTGTCACCCAGTGAGCTTTATATCAAGTGAGGATTTGAACCCTCGTCCTAGAATCATAGAGTTGGAAGGGACTCCAAAGGCCATATAGCCCAACCTCCTGCAATGCAGGAATCTCAACTAAAGCATCCAAGACAGATGGCCACCCAAGCTCTGCTTAAGAAACCTCAATGAAGGCGTGTCCACAACCTCCTGAGGGAGTCTGTTACACCATGGAGCAGCTCTTACTACTTGAAAGTTGTTCTTGATGTTAAGCCGGAATCTCATTTGATCTGGACTTGTTAAGCTTGTGGGTTTTCTAAGGCCTCTACAACATTATCACATGTACTGCTAGCAAGCCAGGTGTCCCCCATTTTGTACTGGTGCATCTGGTTATTCCTTTCTATAAGTTCTCTCACATCTCTAGTTTAGACAACTACTTCACCCTCCTCTGTCTTGAAGAGGAGACCACCCACTTTGACAGTACCCACTTGCATTTTGAATTGTCATTCTGAACTGGCTGCAACATGATCTCCATCGTTGTAGACTGAGATTCATGGTTCTTCCAGGTTTTGAAGGTGCAATTTGCACAGCCGATGCTTTTCATTCTGCCATTTCTGATCACCATAAGGCTTGCAACTCCTTTATCTCTTTTGTGTCACCCATGTCCTCCTTAAAAGAGTTAAACATATCTCATTACTTTTGTGCTCATGCAACATTGTATAGATCTGTCAATATCTGTTTTTTCGGCTTTTTAATGTGGCATTCAGTTCTGCACATTTCTGCACCAATTTACATTTTGTTAAAAAAAACTCTTGTGAAATTTCATCAGCATCTTAGTGAAAATTTCTCATCATAAGCACACATTTGCCTGTAGTTTAACAAACAGAATTGTCCCAGTGTATAGGAACTGACTCCAAGGGGCCAAGGCAGTTTCCTACAATTTTCAGAGGGCATAAGGCTGTGCCCCCTGGCTACTCAGGATGTTGTGCACACGATGTCAGATTGTTGCGGGATTCTGTGTCACCCCCTGCCATTCCTCTGGAGAAGCTGGCACCTCTACCCTAATAAAATGCATATTGATATGTTTGCATGCTGCTTACATAAATATATTCATTCTCTGCACATTTTCCGCTGATATATGCCTTTTTGTAAATGTTTCATTGGAGAAGTGTGGTGTGAAATTTGGAGGGTTGGATATTTCAAAAGATGGATCTGTTTTGGTTCTTGTATTGTTTCAGAAAGTGCAAAATTGGTTCAACTTTATTTTATTTGTTGGTTGGTTAGTTTGTTTACATTTGTATACTGCTCTTCATCATTCATTTTTAATGTTTGTGTTGGTACCATCGCCACATATTCCCCAGTAAAGTTGGGGCCAACAATCGCCCCCCCCGAAAAAAAACTTTCCTCCAGGTTTATCATGATTGTCTGTGGTAGAAATCAAATGCTGACATATATGTAATATGTCCAATTTATTCCCTAGAAAAGGAACAGTGTCATACACATGCAGAGACTGTTGACCCTGTTGGAGTGCAGACTATAGATGGGAGACCCCTGGTGTTGGGGAAGGTCTCTCACACCACAGTACCTTTGACCATGGAGCTGCCTGGCCACAGAGAGCAAGCCACCTTCCACTTAGCAAAGCTAGCCATGTACCCACTAGTTCTGGGGATGTTGCGGTTGTCCAGGCATGACCCGGTTATAGTGTAGGGGCAGCGATCCATAACATTTGCGTCAGCATATTGTCATCTCCACTGCCTAGATGACAAAACCCCAGTAGTAGCAGTGCTATTGGGACCTCTAACTGGTGAGGAAAGCCAATTGCCCACAGAATACTATTCCTACCGAGATGTATTCTGCGAGAAGGAAGGAGACAAGTTGCCTCCCCATAGTTCTTATGAGTGTAAGATATAACTCCTGCTGAGTGCTTGGCTGCCCACAATTTGATGTTGATGTACAAGACAGAGCTGGAGGCTTTGAGAGAGTTTATAGGCTTCATCAGACCTTCCAAGGCACCAGGAGGCTCTCCACTGCTGCTCGTGTATAAAAAGAATGCTACTGAACTTAGATTATGCACAGATTACTGAAAAATCAATAGCCTTATGGTACCCAATTGCTATCCCCCACCATGTATTGGGGATTTTCATGAAGATTTTCATGAAGCTGGACTTAAGGGAGGCTTATAACTTGATCCGTGTGAGGGAGGGAGATGGGTAGAAAACAACGTTCTGCACCAGGTATGGCAGTTTTGAATACCTGGTCATGCCCTTTGGACTTCAGTCAGGGACAGCAACATTTCAAGCTTTCATCAACCACGTCTTCAGTGACCTGATGGATAATTTCGTGATCAGTTACCTTGATGATCTTTCGATTTACTCTGAAAGCCAGGAACAGCATGTGCGGCACATGACAGAGGTGCTGCAGAGGCTGAGAGAACACTCACCTTACACGAAATTCAAGAAATGCCAATTCCATGTTTCTATGGTAGATTTCCTGGGTTACCATCTTACACAGGAAGGGCTGCACATGGATCTGGCTATGGTGCAGGGCATAGTGTCATGGCAGGAACCCAAGACAAATAAAGACATGCAGCAGTTCTTGGGGTTTGCCAACTACTACCACAAGTTTGTGCTAGCCTATTCAAGACTCACAACACCTCTCATGGATTGCTTGAGGGGCAAGAAGCCCTTCCAGTGAACAGTTGAAGCATGACAGGTGTTTGAGCAGCTGAAAACCATGTTCTCCTCAGAGGAATACCTAGTTAATGCCGACCCTCACCAGCCACTTGTCATGGAAACAGATACCTATGACAGGGCAGTGGGGGCGGTACTGCTGCAAGAGAACCAAAATGGCAACCTACACCCTTGTGCTTTCAACTCTAGGAAGCTGACTCATTTCGAGCAGAACTGTATCATTTGGGAGAAGGAGCTTTTGGCTATCTGAGAAGACATTTCTTAGAAGGGGCGCAACACCAGGTGGAAGTGCGCACTGACCATCGGAATCTGAAGTATTGGCAGATGTGACGTCTCAATCAACGGCAGATTCATTGGGTGCAGTTCTTTGCCAGATTCAACTTAAGAGTGCATTATGTGTCCGGCAGTCAGAGTCAAAGAGAGAATGCTTATTCCAGGAAGCTGGAGTATCAGGATGGTGAACCAATTCCAAGTCCAATGTATAGGCATATCTTGAAACTAGAGCAGCTACAGCTAGTGGCAAGGTCAGTCATCAAAGTCTCTGAATTTAAGCTGAAGACAAGGGAGGATGCTTTTGTGAAAGGCAAGTAAGAGGTGCTGCAGAATTCAATTTCTGGTGGAAGGCATAGAACTGGCAAAAGAATTAAAGTTCCTGGAAATGTTTCCTGTCCATTGCTTCCCCTCCTTTCCAACTAATCAACCTGGAAATGCCTAGCACAAATACCCTTGAACTTATTGTTTACACACACACACACACACACACACACACAGAGAGAGAGAGAGAGAGAGAGACAGACAGACAGACAGACAGACAGACAGACAGACAGACACCTTGAAGCATAAACTTCTCTTTCTTTGGAATGTGCTACTATTTCCTCAAATGATTTAGAATGATCAGTTCAATGCACTTGATGTTCCACTCATTCCATGGAATATGAGTACCAGGGCAGTAGATATATTCGTCACTCAAAATAGGGGACTGAGCAGGTGAGGCAACATGCACAAAGTGACTAGGGGCTAGCATGTCCCCATCTCCATCCATGGATTGGTCTTTGTGTTTTAAGGCAAATGCCTCCTCAGAATTTGTCTGCCACTTTTTCTTTTCTTTTCTACAGGATTCTCCTGGGTATTTACTGCAGAGGAGTGTGATATAGCAGGAGGGCAATGCCAAGAGACCAACTGTTATGAGCCCCGGCAAAATTATGGGTGTGTGTGTGAGGGTCAAAGGATGTGCTGCCGCCTCCCCAAACCTATAAGAATGCTCCTCTTTTTGTCACCATATAGAGGTCTTCAAATCTCTGCTTGCAATGAATGTGGCTGCTGCTGG